ATTTATCATTTCCCTGTTCTGTCATGTGGGCCAGTCTGATACGTGTGATGTGGTACCTCAGAGTTGTTTTGATTTGCATTTCTCTAATCAGTAGTGATTACGTTGACTTTTAAGTTGTAAGTTGCCCAATTTTAAATCTCTTGGATCTTCTTTCCTGGGGTGGAGGCATAATACGGTTGTATATATTCCCACTGACAAGGAGGCCATCGTTTGAAAAACCAGTGCAATTTAACAGAAACATAGGTGTTAGTTGTGTTACCTCCCTTCCTTTGACTTGGGTGATTATGTTGGTTTGTTTTCCTGGACTTTTTAAAAAAATTCTTGTAAGGATTTCTCTCAGGGCAGGAAAAGAGTAGTGGGGGGACATGAGGGGAGGGGGAGTCTATTGAGAAATAAAGGTAATGTAAAAACAAAAGATAGCAGCAAAAATTTTTTAAAAATAAAAGTGTTAGCTGAGTGGAGGAAACATTTAAAAATAAATTACACAGTCTGTACATCACAAAAATAGCAGGGCATGTGTAATGAAATCCTTTTACTTCTAAGCTGTGGAGACTGTCACATACAAATACAGTTCTTTTCCCTGTCCTCTCCAACCCCTGCTTTGTGCTGGTAATGCATCTCACTATTTATCTAGCAATCAGCTGAAAGCACCCATAAAAACACAATCCCATGTGATATGATAGAATTCCCCACTGTCCTTGTCTGGAGCTTGCCATGATGGCATACGGGGTAATTTGCCTGCTTGGCAGTCCTGAGTCGCTTACAGCCCTGTGAGCCTCCACACGTCTTGCTTTAGGGTCATTGCAGACATCTCCTGCCTGGGCAACTGGAAGGGGAAATTTGAGTCCATAAACTATAGCCCATAAACATAGACCATACTCAGCATTACAAGGATCTAAGACATCTCCAGAGGCCTCGGGATGGAAAATGCTGTCCACATCTAAAGAAAGAACTATGGAAGTCGAATCGCTGTCACTTATTTTTACTTTCTGTTGAGTTTTGTTTCATCTTTCTGATGGTTCCTCCTATTGGTTTTAATTTTTACTTACAACTTCACTAATGTGAAAATATGTTTAATGGGTATATAAATGTAAAGCCTATATCAGATTGTGTGCCATCTTGGGGAGGCCGGGGGGAAGAAGGGGGAGAAAAATTTTCAACTCAAAAGCATATGGAAGTGATTGTTGATAAAATAAATTAATAAAATTTAAAAAAAATCCCATAGACCGTCGAATACTACCCTCTCCTCCCATTTCCCCAAACCTGCGGGAGGCAGATGAAGGTAAGAAAGTACAAGATTATCTAGGATAAAAAATAAAGGATGGTGTGATGGGCGTAGAGAGAGCTAAATTTACTTTCGGAGAGTTCAGGTCATGGTCCCTCTTTCTCTGATTAATTATTGGATCATCATTGGTGCTGTAAGCTCCACTGGGGAGTTACCCACTCGTTTCCTTCTGCCTGTACATTAACTGGGGAAGAAAAAAAACTGGGGAAACCCAGAGGATAACTCATGCTCTCATTTTTGGAGGTCTGTACTCAGTACCCCGACTTTTACAAGGTTGGAGGAATTTCCTGTTAACCACCAATAAAGGTTATGGTGGCCTCAAAAGTTGTTGCTGACTGACTCTAAATCTCAAACAAACCACTCTGACCTACTATTATGGAGCAGTGAAGCTACTTCTCTTTTCTAGGGGTCAAAATGCTCCCCCACCCCAAAGCTAAGGGTCTTGGGTTTGAGTGGGAATACATTACCTTCCCTTGTTTCAGTCAAGTTCAGAAAAGTTCATTCGTTCAGTTGTGTCCAACTCCTTGTGACCCCATTTGGGGTTTTCTTGGCAGAGATACTGGAGTGGTTTGCCATTTCCTTCTCCAGGTTTCCGTCAAGATTTGCATCCAATCCTCTTGTGCCATATACTATTTGTGTAATGTACAAATTATTTTATCTCAATGGCCGAGTGAATGAATGAATGAATGAATGAACCATCATCTTGCCACCATCTTCTCAGGCTCACAACCCAGGAGATGTCCTGGACTCTTCACTCTTTCTCACCCCCATCTCTTGTCTTTTGCTAGGTCCTGTCTATTTCACCTCCTCTAGACCCACTTCTCTTCTCCGACCATGTCTCCACCTTGGTGCAGCTCTCATCATCTCACCGAAGGACTATTGCAATAGTTACTGGGAGGGTCTTTCTGCCCCCAGTGTCTCCCCACTCCAGTCCATCAGCCACCAGTGATTTTCCTAAAGTGCAGGCCCAATCATGCTACCCTTCTCCCCTCAGTAAACTTTATAATTCCCCTTTGCCTCTGGAAGCAAATCCAGAATGCCTTTTTTGGCCTTTAAAGCCCTTTAAACCTGCCCTGTACCACCTTTCCAAGTTTATACCTTCCCAACACTTTGATCCAGTGACTCCAGCTTCCTGGTGGGTCCATGCACAAGACCTTCCGTCTGTTGGCTCTTGGCGTTTCTCTCTGGCTGTCCCCCATGCTTTCGATGCCTTCCCTCTACCCCTCTGACTACAGATCTCCCTGGCTTTCTTTAAGTCCTAATTAAAATTCAACCTTCTAAAGGAAGCCTTCCCCAGACCCTTTTAATTCCAGGGCCTTCCCTCTGTTAATAATTTCCTATTTATCATATACACACATACAGAGCACAAGAGCATACTTGCTTTATATATGTTTGTTTGCTTCTTGTTCTCCCCCTTCCCCCAGCCCACCTCCCTTTAGATTGTGAGTTCCTTTTACCTCGTTATGTGTCTCCAGCCCTTGGCACGTAGTAGGTGCTTAATAAATGTTTATTGATTGATTGGACTAAGGTCTCAACCCCCATCTGTCCAGGTGGGGATGTTGCACATACAGAAAACTGTGAGATGGAGCTCCCAGGAATAGGTAAGACCTTCGGGAGGTCCTAGGGCCCTTATGTTTACTTTTGTTGGTGATAAGGTGACAGGCAGCAATGATTTTGTGGCATGGGAACCCATGGGACACAGATCACAACCAGTCTCTAAGTTATACTGTCTTCTTGGAGGCTTTCCTACAGCTCAGAGGCGTTGTCTTCACTGTGACAGAGGGGGGATTTGTAGCTGGGAGTTTGACGCTCAGTCCAGGCTAATGGCTGTGATGCCACGTTGCCCCTCAGGGCAGCTAGTTCTGACCTTGATCATCGCAGCTGGCCTTCTCTGCGCCTCTCATGCTCTGGCCTCTCTTCTTGGGGTGTGCAGGGGTTTTACATGAGACTAAGGCTGTATTTGCTGGTTTGTTTTGGGGACTCTTACAAGTAACCTTTGGTGTTGCTTGGCCTTTGAGACAAAGGAAATCCTCAGCCTGGTAATTTTAGGAAATGTCCATAGTGCCTCTGAGAGACCTTTCATAGACCATAATGAATGATCCAGACCCATTGTGAGGACAATTTGGGGTCCTTTTCCCTGAATTAGTTAGCTAACAATTGCCCCCATTATGCCTCAATTTTCTGGTGAAGTGTGGCCTAGTGAGAACTTGGGGTAGTTGGTCACTGTCACCTGTTCCCCAAGTCTTCAGCAGACTTGGAGATTTTGTTCTAGATTCTCCCTTCTCTACAAAAAAAGCTCCATAGGAGCTTCAGTCTGGATCCCTGGGGTTAACTAGTCCACCACTAGACTATCTCCAGTTTCTTCTTCCTCAGTTTCTTCTTCCAAATGAGTAGGTGAACTACATGATCCTTCTGGTCTCTTCCAGCTCTAAATCTGTGGCCCTGCAAAGGATCCATTTCTGCCTACATTTTATTCTCTACCTTTGGTTTTTCATTGACGTTGACAAAGCACGGCTTCCAGTCCCATGGTCCCATGGTCATTGTTGTGTAGCGCTCCCCCCACACCCCAAAACGGTGCTTTGGAGCTTTCTTAAAGGATTTTTGGAAATGTTCAGAAATGATGGTCCCTGTTTCCTCCCTTTGCTGACCCATCTCAAACTCTAGGAAAATCAGTAGATGATGTTTTTCCCCAACAGTCAGTGAATGAACAGGCATTTATTAAGTACCTACTATGCAGGGTAGGCACTCTGCTAGACATGAGTGGTACAAATTGCTGGTAATGGGGAGAAAGAGGTTTAACATGTATAAGGAAGTGGTCTTAGGCGGACCACAGTCTAGTGATTGAGAGTGGGCTAGGCTTAATCTGGTTATTGTTGTTACTAGAACAACACAGGTCAGGTGGCCAGAATCCTCTGCTGGCTAGGCCACGTATCTTGGTAGAAATCTGGACGGTCCAGCCTCAGGTACTTGACACTTACCTAGCTGTGTGACCCAGGGCAAGTCACTTAAACCCAGTTGCCTCACCAAAAAACAAACAAACAAACAAAAAAGTCCTTCACAACCTAGCTTCCCTTACCTTTCAAGTCTTTCGAGGGCAGCTAGGTGGTACAGTGGATAAAGCTCCGGCCTTGGAGTCAGGAGGACCTGAGTTCAAATCCAGCATCAGACACATGACACTTACTAGCTGTGTGACCCTGAGCAAGTCACTTAACCCTGATTGCCTCAGCAAAAAAAAAAAAGAAAGAAAGAAAGAATAGAAATGAAATCTGATGGGATGGGGCAGAGGCATGATCTGAGGCTCCTGCTTGGTTTGAAGGTCGCTCGAAGTTTTCACTCACCCACTAATCAAGACACATTACTCCAGTGAACCAAGTACATCTCCTCACAGTTTATATTGACTTTCAGGAAAGAGACAATGTTCGTCTAGGTCACTGCCCTCTTTGATTTGAAATTGACTGTGAATGTTTCCAGTGGCCCAGCTGCTTCGTGTTTCTTTTCAGCGTTTCAGGGCTAAAGCATTCTAGGTGATTTTCAGTGGAAAAATGAGCATCCCCGATTCTACCTTAATTCTGGGTTGTGTTTCGCATCCAGCAGTCAAATGTGTGTCCACTAACTTAGGGAGTACATTTTCAGACTTGAAGGTAGATTAAATCACATTTTACTGTTGCTTGTCAATCACGATTGTTCCTTGTGTCCCCTTTTAACATCCTTTTAGATCAACTGGCTTCTCGGAGGTGATTGTGGTCGTCGGAGGGTGTGAGCGAGTTGGGGGCTTTAATCTTCCCTACACTGAGTGCTATGACCCTGTTACTGGCGAGTGGAAGTCTTTGGCCAAGCTGCCAGAATTTACCAAGTCCGAATATGCAGTGTGCGCTCTGAGGAATGACATTCTTGTCTCAGGTAAAAATATTTGCATCATTAAAGATAGTGTCAGCCCCATGCTGAGAGTATTCATGAACACAAGTGTTTCCATAACCAAGATAAACTGGATTTAAAAAAAAAACACTCAGTTGTATAAAACATGAATTAAGTGGAGAGTCTTTGCTTTACAAAAAATATTACTTTATAAAAAGATTTGTTAGAGGATTCCTCTACATGTGCTTCTGCAGAACATTTTAAAATTTTGTGTGATCCACAAATCTTTCCTTACCTTCTTTTCAGAGTCATATCAAGGTGCCTAAAATGAGGTTTCCACCCTCTCTTTATAGAGGTGGGAGACTGGGTATGAAACACTGCATATGCTGTCAGACTTGTTCTGTCAACAACAAGCATATATTAATCGCCTACAGTGTGCTAGGTCTTGGGGGTGCAGAAAAGGAGATAATCCCCACTCTCCCAGGATTTACATTGAAATGAGGGGGAGACGATAATATATACAGTAACACAGTCTTTATATCTATACATACATAAATCACGTCCACATTGTTGTATGCTGTTTGCTAGCCTACCTACGGACAAAGTTAGAGGTCACTGGCAGCTGGGGGTGATCAGGGAAGGCTTCCTGTAGGAGGAGATGCTTAAGTCTCTGTCAGGAGGAAGGGGAAGATCAATGTGTTGGTTAGTTTGGCTGACCCGTTTTTTTTCTCACCCTATTTTGTTATAAAGGGTGGCTCTGGGTTGGAGTGGGGATTGGGATATGTCAGGAAACAAAGATGGTGTAACAACAGATTTCAGTAGGAACATTAAAAGTAATAGAGAATACCCATGAAATCGAGCTTTTCTTGTTGCCTCTTGTTTTCTGGAATTGTTCTGAAACTAGAAAAAGGAAATTTTAATTCTTTTTAAAGCTTCTACTTCTGTTTGCAGTCTTGGTATGCTCTGTCTTTAATCCCTCTTAGCCACTAAAAACAAAGGGTCAAATCTTGCTCGAGGATTGGCAGTTTTTTTACAGCATGACCAAAAACACATGACCTTTTTATACTTGATTTAATGTTCTTGAAATAACAGTAGCTTCTGTCTGCATTAGCTTCAAAAAACTCTTGTATAGGTACACCCATGAAAGTGAAGCAAGCTTCCACAGAGGCTCCTCTCTCTACTGCTCAGCAGCTAAACCCTCTCCCCTGTGAGGTGGGTGGCGGTGCTGGGGAGGAGCAGAGGTGCAGCGCCCTCTGTGCCTGAGCATATGAGACCCAGGAAGGTCGGGGCTCCTGGCATGCTTGGAAGGTTTCCTCTTGGTTTTGTAAGGGCAGTGATTTGGAAGTGAAGTACTTTGCTCGGCCTCTTTGCAACGTTAGCTTGCTGGAATGTATTTTACACTTGAGAAGCGAGACAGGTAGTAGTTAGAAAACCAGTTTGGAGTCAAGGAAACCCAGATTCCAGGTCTGTCTCTGTCACATGCTGGCTGAGTGACCCTGGGCTCCAGGCAACCCTCTGAGACTGTTAGAAGCAAGAAGGCTGCCGACTTTCACAGGGAGAGGATGTTCTCTTCCCTGGGAGTCCCAGTGGCTGTGTGAAATCATGGAGACTTCCCCTGACCTCCAATTTACAGTTAGGACAGTTTCCATTGCCATTGAGTTTATATGTCTTTAGTGAAGCTGTTTCTATTTTAACATTAAAAAAATTGTTATTTTAAAATTAAATATTATTAGATAGAAGTGATATTGGCTGGATTATTTTTCCAGCAGAAAACGTTATATTTTGGTTTTGGTTTTTTAGGCAAGTGGGGTTAAATGACTTGCCCAGGGTCACACAGCTAGCAAGTGTCAAGTGTTTGGTCTGAGGTCGGATTTGAACTCAGGTCCTCCTGACTTCGGGGCCGGTGCTCTATCCACTGCGCCACCTAGCTGCCCCTAGAAAATGTTATATTTTACCTAAATTGTCACCTATTTTTGCTCTAAGTTATGCCACCTACTCTTTCTCATAGTAAAACACTAAATGTATTTGAAATTGTACTGTAAATGCTGTTGATCATTAGATCTGATCTTTAATCCCCATCAAGAATTGAGAGTGAAAAACCTGTTTTCAAGGCATTTGATTTTTCTCTTATATTCTTTCCTTTTCTCTTCAAGGCTTTCTAACATGTGAGAGAATATTATCTTAGAGTGATAATGACCTTGGACAGATAATCTCTCTGTGCCCCTTGGCTTGTTCATCTGTAAAATGTTGCCCTAGATGACCTCATAGGCCTTCTATCTCTAAAGCTATGCGTCTGTGATCTGAGAATGTCCTTTTCCCTTCATGATGTCAGCTTTAATAATAACTAGCTACAGCTTGCCCACCTGTGAATTTATTGAATTTCTTTTTGAATCCAAAGTTATTTCAGTCTTAAGGTTACATGAGTGTAATACCTCCTTTGGGAAATTAGTACCTTCTTTTGTGTATTCCTTCAGAATAACAAGGGCTTTCCCCTTAGAGTTTTTTCTGGGATTTAGCAAAGTAATTAATGTTTCCATCTCTTTTATCATTTTGTTTTTCAGCTATTTCCCCTTTTAACCTAGATAACTGAAACTATTTGATAGATTTATCCATATTAGTAAGTGCTTATGTATTAATATTTTATGTTATATATTAATATTATACATTTAATTAGGCCTTCCAATTATACTTGCATTTTAGCTATGGCTAAACCAGTTAATTGACTACGAAGAATTTCAGGCACCTTGACTGGAAGCTAAGTGAAATAGGAAGTGGTGGGCAGACGTTCCAGTGTTAGATGGCAGTTGGGGTGGTCAGAACTTAAAGAATTAATTGATTTTCTGTAGGTATACTACTTTATACTTACAGAATTGAAACATGGAAGCTTGGTATGGTGGAGAGAGCTTTCCTTGGCTTGGGCCAGAGGACCTGGGTTCAGTTCCCACCTGGGTGACTTGGGCCTCAGTCCTCTCATCTTTAAAATGAGGGTTTGGGCCAGATGGCAGCTGGGGTCCCTCGCAGCCCTTGAGCGACGCTCCCTGTCAGAAAGGGCCATTGGTTGTTCTATGTTTGTGTCTTTTTAAAGGAGGAAGAATCAACAGCCGTGATGTCTGGATTTATAACTCACAGCTTAACATTTGGATCAGAGTTGCCTCTCTCAATAAGGGCAGATGGCGTCACAAGATGGCTGTCCTCCTTGGTAAGGTAAGAGCAGTTTCTTTGGTGAATATTTGCTTGCAAGACACCAAAATAATGACCCCAGCCGACTATTCGGTAATGGTTTTGTTGATTATAATTCAAGAAAGATATAAAAGAGTCAGAGCAGATCCAGCGTAGGGCAGTTCTAGGAGGCAAGGTGGTCAGTGGGGCCGATGTGACTGTATATGGTAGACCCAAGGTTAGGATGTGGAGGCTGGCAAGATGGAGGCATTGGTAGAGTTCTGTATGTGGAGATGGGTTTCAGCATAAGCTCGTTTGGCTAGAGTGCATCCCCCTAGAACCTGAGTCTTAGAAAGCTTGAAAACGATACCAGAATCACAGAGTGCCTATGAGGGTCTTTAGGTCTGGCCCCGTCCCTGTTTTATTGAGGAGGAACCCAAAGCCACAAGGGTGTAGGGAAGGTGACATTGGACACTAGATTGACACCATGTTTGGCCATGGGATGAGGTGATGGTTCTGTCCACTTCTCGGAGGCCTTCTGTGTGTGGAAGCCTTCTCTCTCGAGACAATATTTTGTTATCATCATCATCATCATCATCATTATTAAAATCTTTCAGACTGATCTCTCAGTTCTGATGGTTCATTAAGTCCTTTCTCTGTAGGGTGCTAGGCACCAGAAATACCAAGAGAAATACCATCCCAAACCTGCTCTAAGGAGTTTACAATAGGATAAGTTGCCTTGAGAGTACTCTAGGACCCAGTGGCCCTGGCAGCACTCTAATGATTGTTGTAACCCAAAACTGATGCTCTCTCTCTGTCCTCCCCCCCAATCCATTTCCTTGAGGTCTGAACAGCTTGTCTTGATGAAAATTAGAGTTGGGTCTACATCTCAGGTAATGTTCTCTGGTGCTTTTTTATTTATTAAGAACATTCTACAGCAGTGTGGGATCCATGACAGATTCATACATGCTGTTAGTCAAATTACATCGCCTTGTCCCCCAACCAAAACAATTTAAATTTACTTTCAGCACTTAGTGCCAGGCACTGTGAGAAGTAAGCTCAGGAGATACAGAGACAAAAAGGGTAAACTGGAGGTCTTGCCGCCAAGGAGCTTGGGGTCTGCTGGGAGACACAGCATGTATAAAAATAAGTCAATACCAGTGTGTTTCAGGAGGAAGAGCATATTAATCAATTGTGAATTAGGGAAGGCTTCCAGGATCAAGTGGTACCTGAGCCGAGCCTTGTAGGGAGGGGAAGGATCCTTGTTGGGTGAGGAGTTGAGGAGGGAGGGAATTCCAGGTGAAGGGGAGCTTGGGAAGATGGAGGTTTTGGGGGTGCCAAACATTGAGTGAACATAGAATGCGTGAAGGAGGAGGTTAATGTGGAATAAAGCTGAAGGCTTGAAATGCCATGGCGGGGGATGGGGGGAGGGGAGGGGAGCTCAGTTTGATCTCAGAAGTGCTAGATTTTCAAATTAAGAATTTAGCAAGTCATTACTGTGTGCTAGGTACTGTGCATGGTTCAGAGGACGAGAGAAAATTCGTTTGAGTAGTAGGGAAGTTATAGACATGGAGGTGATATAAAAACAAAAGATATTGACAAAACATCTTAAAATCCCACGAAATGAGTTTTAATTTAAACATTTAAGCCAAACCTCTTGTAATGATTGTCCTTTCATCATTATTGAGAGCTTTCCAAGGGGAAAAAGTGATTGATTATATGCAACTGATTGGAATAGCGGCCTTTGGTTGAACTCAGTATCAGACAGACGTAGCTGATTTCTGTGTGTTGTAAACACAGGTCTATGTTGTTGGGGGCTATGATGGTCAGAACAGACTCAGCAGCGTCGAGTGTTACGATTCCTTTTCAAACCGCTGGACTGAAGTGGCGCCCCTCAAGGAAGCTGTGAGCTCCCCAGCAGTGGCCAGCTGCGTTGGCAAGTTGTTTGTGATTGGTGGAGGCCCCGATGATAACACTTGCTCAGATAAGGTAAGCAGGCCTCTGGGTTCTTCTTAACTAAAACTGTTGAGTCAGCTAGATCAGTAGATCAATTGAACATTAATGCAAAGTGATTATCAACTAAATTCTTAACAGGAAAGGTTTTTAGTATTGTCTAGTACTCTGTTAATGGAATTACTCCTTTCTAAAAAGAGCCAGTAATTAGCTTGGTGACTTTGATGGGTCTGTGGTTTCAATGTAATCTTTCCCCTCTTTGGCTTGCTATGTACCTCTCGTCCATGTCCTGTTCCTTAAATTCTCCACAGAGGATTCGCCCAACATAATTGGGGGCAGGGGGTGATAAGTGTGTTCTCTTCCATCTCCAACAGTTTGCTAGTCACAACTTGGGCAAACTTTTTGAAGTGGGGCTATGCAAATATCCTTTTTAAAAATGTTATTGGAGTTTTTCTGTAGAGCTCACAAAATCTGAACTCTGTCTTCAAGAAATAGGTTTCCTGTTTAACAGAGCCGTATGGTTTGCAGACAAGGGAGCAAATAGCCTGGAGAGTAAGTACTCCAAGGAATTTTAGAAGGGGAAGAAACGGCAAAAGAAACTTGGACGAGTAACCGGATACTTTGGAAAACTACGTGCTTCTCTTGGCAGAAAGTATCTGTCAGCAATCAGGTTGAGCAAGAGCCGAATGATATGGATGGCAGCTGCCACTTTGGAGGAGAGAATTGTTAGTCAAATACAATATAGCTGTAGTAGAGTCCACATTGTTCATCTAGGAGTCATAATCATCTGACCTGGACGAAACTGCTGCCTGCCTTTAGCGATCTCTAGAAGGCAGGGTTTCTCTGAACGGTGGCAGATGTGAGAGTTGAGTGTCTTATAGTTGCTTAAGAAAACTGTTTTGAAAGATTTTCGAATGCTAATTTTGTGAAAAAATTATACATTACAGTACATATGGCAACTCTTACTCTTCTTCACACACACACAATGAGCATTTCTGTTTACAAAGAAAAAGGAGTAAATGTGCAACAGTGAATCAGTTCTGTACAGCTCTCTGGCAGCATTTCTAATTGGGAACCTTCAGTATTGGCCTGAGAGACTATATATACAGGGTGTCTCAGAAATCTTGGTATGCTTTTAAGTAAGTTCTGACTTTTCATTCCAGATGGACGAATAGTATATTATTCAGATGTCTTAAACTATCTGACTGTCTGAAATTTTCTTTTCTCGATAAAGAAGCCAAGAATTCATTTCTGTGGGTGCTTCTTATGAAAGCTTTTTGTTTTTAATCCAGGGCTCAGGGACCTAATTAAATGTGTTTCCATGCCTTACCAGGTTCAGTCTTATGACCCTGAAACTAACTCTTGGTTACTCCGTGCCACAATCCCCATTGCCAAGAGATGTATAACAGCTGTGTCCTTAAATAACCTGATCTATGTCGCTGGCGGGCTCACCAAGACCATCTACTGTTATGACCCAGTTGAAGATTATTGGATGCATGTACAGAACACATTCAGCCGTCAGGTAAGAACTTATTAGTACAGCGGAATACAACATTGACTGCCCACTGCAGAGCAGAGCCTCCTACAAGCAGGTCTGCTGGAACTCCTTCAGCCTTTGTGACTGGAGAAGTGTATGCACTTCCTTTTCCTCTCAACTAGAGGTACCACATGTCATGATTAAGCCCTTGCTCTGATCCCATCCCCTTCTGCCCTCTGCTGCTCTGGGACCTTGCCCTATCCTGTAGGGTCTCTGCCCTTTTGGTGCCCTGGATCGCTTGGGTGGCAGCTAGGGCCAAAGCTGTTTTTAAATGCATAAAAACAGATAGGGTGACCAGGGGAAATCATTTACCCTTTCAGGGTCTGTAGTCCTGCTTCATCAATTCCCACCCCTTCCTCTTTGAACTAAAGCATCTCCCCTTTTGTTTTGGTTCCTTTTCTTCTGAACCCAAGCATACTCAGGTTTCCCCTCTCTTGAAAAACCAACCCAGCAACAAGAGAACCCTTGCCCTCCCTCCCCAGGGCTGCCATCCCACCTCTGGCTGTACTCTTACTGCCAGATATCCTTCTCATGCCTCTGATTTCTGGCTGCCCCCTTCTTGAAACTCCTTCTGCCCCAAACTTCTGACCTGATAATATTCATGTACTTCTTTTCCTTTCTGACCGTTTGTTCCATACCTCATTTGCCAGCTCTTCTTCCTCATCTTGATTCCAGAATGTGCATTTCTTACAAATTCTTTCCTAAGACATCTGCTCTCACGTGTTTCTCTTTGGGGTGTCTGTGAAAAAGACATGGGGATTGTAGTTGGCAGTGCCAGTATTATTAAGTGCTAGGTAACTGTAGGGATCTCCCATGTCCTAATCAGGAATCCCCTGTCATCCTTGGACTGGTTTTGAAGCAGAGTGGAGGGAGGAGGGGAGACCAGGATGGGAAGAAGCCCCAAACCCTGTCCTATGGGGAACAGCTGAATGAATCAGGAATGATGCCCTTTAAGAAGAGAAACTTAAGGGAACATAATAGCATAGGCAGCTCCATTATAATTCATTGGTGTTCCAGAAAGTACCAAGTTATGTAAAATCATGCAATAAAAACCACAGAACTTATGGGAGAAATGAGCTCAGAGTAACAATACTGAAAAACTCTCATCAGTGACTCACAAAAAAAGGCAGGAACTTAATACTAACAGTTTATTATAAATAGTATATAATAACATATAATAATACTATATAAAAATAATAACATATAAATTAAAAAAAGTTTATACCTGTTAAATAGTTGAAGAAATACAGACATACTCCAATAGAAAGTGGTCCCTCCTTAGCCTTGGGCAGTTGCCTGGGGCAGGACAGACCAATTCTGGCCCTTGGACTAGAAGTTCTGGCTGAAGGGGATACAGGGCGGAGCAGATGATGTGGACTAATCCTTCTCCACTCTCAGCTGCTTCTGCACCAAGTTATACCAACAATATGCCATTTTGTTGTGATAAACCTTAAAGTTTACTTGTAGAAGTGGGCATCAGAACAGTGACAGCTTGTGAGTTGTCATGAAGCAGGGCAGTTTTATGAGTTATCTTGGTATTTCTTAAGAAAGAGAATTGTGCAGAAACAAATTCAAAATTTGAATTGTGTTCAAAATATTTCCTAATATATCTACTAGCAGCTAAAGGGTGCAGTGGATAGGACTCTAGGCTTGGAGCCAGATGAGTTCAAATCCAACCTCAGACGCTTCCTAGCTATGTGACCCTGGGCAAGTCACTTAATTGCTGTCTACCTCAGTTTTCTCATCTGTCAAATGTGGATCATGACAGCACCTACTTCCAAAGGTTGTTTTGAGGATCAAATGGGATAATAATTGTAAAGCACTTATCATAGTGTCAGGCACATAGTAACCACTACAAAAATATTAACTATTATACCATTATCAAAAACAGCTAACCTAGGAAATAAGTTGAGGACAACTCATTTAAAAATCATTAGACTTTCCTCCAACTCTGTGCCTCCCCCAAATCCAGAAAACCTGTATACCATATCTTAAGAAATCATAAATGAAAACTTCTCGAATCTGTTAGAACCAGAGGGCAAAGTGAAAACAGAATCCTCCAGTTGTCTCCTGAAAGAAATTCGTATTGAAAACTCTCGTGAGTGTCATAGCCAAAATCCAGAGCTTTCATATCAAAGAAAGGTACTGTAAACCATCAGAAGGAACCAGTGCATCAGATCCATAGTCAGAATCACCCAAGTCTTGGCAGCAGCCACTGCCTAGGAAAGAGAGTCTTAGAATACAGTTGCCCAAAAGGTAAAGTCTTGTAGCCAAAGGTAACCTACATGCCCTGCAAGACTCAGAATAACCTGACATGGGCAAAATGGAGCTTTAATGAAATGATGGACTTTGAAGCGTTTCTGATCCCGCTTTCAAGCTTCTTAGGAACTTTGAAATGTATACACCAGAGTTAAGACTATTACGTGGATACTTTCATCCTCTCCTCTCGCAGACCAGCACATTTCCTTTCTGGTTAACCATTTCTTTCATGGTGTCCTTTCTATCCTCTCTCTTGCCCAGTTTTTAACTGGTGATGTGCTGTGCCCCCTCCTTTTGCTCCTAATTGCCCTTTGAAGGACTTGCAACTTTAATTTTTCAGGGACTCTAGTAGTCTATGACTCAGAGCCATATAGTATCATGGGAAGGGAATATTAAAAATGGGCATATGTTTCATGGAGAAGCTAGGGTAATTAAAAATCTCTACTCAGTTTCTTAAAAGCAATTTAACTTATTTCTCCTATTTATCTCTAGGTCTGGGTCATCATTCATACAGTGTCTATCCAGGATATGTGTATTTAGGAATTCTGCAGTTTCTCTGGGCGTCTGTGTTAATTACCAAAGCCTGGACAATAGACATTTTTCATTCCGATTTTTCTCGTGTGGTTGTTGATTATTATGGGTTCTTATTCTCTAGGCTCTGCCATATTCTAGGGCTTGAAAAATGTTGTGGTATCATGAAGCAAGGCCCAGTTTTGGAACCAGGAAGCCAGAGTTTGGGCCCTGACTTGGGTTGCTCATTGGCTGTTTGGTTTGATGTCCCGAGCTGCCGCGAGGATGAAGCAGATGCTTTTACAAAACTCCAGGGCTTGGTAGAAGCGCCAGCCTGCTTTGATTGTGCAGCAGCGCTTTCTCTGTGCAAGCTACAGCCAAGAACAACAAACACTTCCGGGCCTCACTTCCAGAGTGGAGCGCAGGGGGCACTGTGTGGTGCCCAGCACGGAATGTGTAGTGTCTGTTTCTGCCACGGCCAAATCAGGCAGTCAGCAAGCATTTTTTAAAAGCTTATTGTTTGTTTATTTTTGATAGTGTTTTATTTTTTTCCTGTAACATGTAAAGATCGTTTTCAGCATTCATTTTTTATAAGCTTTTGAGTTTCAGATTTTTTCGTCCTCCCGCTCATCCTTACTCCCCAAGACGGTAAGCAATCTGATGTAGGTTGTATATGTACAGTCATATTAAACGTATTTCCACATTAGTCATATTATGAAAGAAGAAACAGAACAAAAAGGAAAAGCCACCCAAAAGAAAGTGAAAATAATATGTTTTACTCTGCATTTAGACTCCATGGTTCTTTCTCTGGATGTGGATAGCATAGCATTTTCCATCATGAGTTAGAGTTTTTATTAAAGCATTTAGTAAGCTTCTCTTTGGGGCTACTAGGTGGCGCAGTTGCACAGACCCCTGGTCCTATAGTCAGGAGGACCTGAGTTGAAATGTGACCTCAGACATTTACTGGCTGTGCGACCTTGGGCAAGTCACTTAACCTACATAAAACTGGAGAAAGAAATGGCAAACCATTCCAGTATCTTTGTCAAGAAAGCCCATGGACAGTATTTAGATGCTTTAAAAAAAAAAAAAGACACATGAAAACCAAGTGCTTCAGACATGCTGTGGTCTGTGGAGGTCACAGAGTCAGACGTGAGTGAACAACAAAAGCACTCTTTAGGCCTGTAGCACCAGGCTCTCCTGGTTCTCCTGCCTCTCTGATGACTCCTTCTCTGTTTCCTTTGCTGGAGCCTGCCTTAGATCATGCTCTCTAAGCACTGGTGTCCATCAGACCTTTCCTGGGCCCTTTTCTCTTTTCCCTCTCATCAGTTTCCATGGATTTAATCACCATCTCTGCTGGTATTCTCTCCCCAGTCTCTCGGTTGGTCTCCACTCTCACATCTCCGGCTGCCTTTCAGGCATCTCAAGCAGGCTGTCCAGTAGCTGTCTTAAACTCATCAAGTCCAAAACAGAGCTCATGATCTTTCCCCCCAAACCCTCCGCCTCCTATTCACTGTTCATGTAGAGGGATACTGTCCTCCCAGTCCTTCAGGCTCCCAGCCTAGGAGTCGCCCTGGAGCCTTCACTCTCCCTCATGTCCCAGGGGCAAGTAAATCGAAGGCCGTTCAGTTGCATCTCTTCAGCGTGTCTCTGATATGCCCCCTTCTCTTCTCTCACAGTGCCCTACCCTGAATACAGACCCCCATCCCCTGAACTGTTGCAGTAGCTGCTGGTGGCACTGCCTGCCTTGAGTCCCTCCCCACTCCAGTCCATCCTCCATTCAGCCCCTAAAGGGATTTTCCTAAAGACAAGTCCAACCACGGCACCCCCTCCTCAGCAAACTCCAGTGGCTCTCTGTTGCCTCCAGAATCAAATGCAAGATGCTCCGTTTGGCATGCAAAGCCCTTCATAACCTAGCCCCCTTCTGCCTTTCCAGTCTTTTTATACCCTCCTCCCCAGCACGTCTTCTCTGATCCGGTGACACCAGCCTCCTGGCTGTTCCATGAACCGGACCCTCCATCTCTCCCCTCTGGCCGTTCTGCCTAACTTCCCTGCTTGGGATGCTCTTCCTCCTCAGTGCCATCTTTCTGGCTTCTTTGAGGCCCCACTAAAATCCCATGTACTTCCCCAAGGCCTCTTAATTCCAGTGCTTTCCCTCTCTTGATTATTTCCTGTTTATCCTGTTGGTATGTAGTTGTTTGCTTGTTGTCTCCAGCCTG